GCCGTGCGTCTCCATTGCGTTCGGTTCTCTGCTAGAGTCTTCACCTGGCTCCAAGTCTGCCCACACGTTTTCATCTCCTCTTCACATGACCTCCTCCAAGTCACCCTCGCACTGACGACCAACTCGCCGCTTCCCTTTCGGGTTCCACTCGAGTGATGGCTTGTCTAGTGATGTCACTTGATGGTTTCCTCAGAGTATGGCCAATCCATCTCCATTTCTTCCTGCCTATTTGTTTCACAATCGGTTCCTGCTGTGTTGGTTCGCTCCCAGAGATCCCTGTTGCTGATCTTTTCTGGCCGGCCATCTGATCTTGAGTATTGAGTGAAGACAACTGTTAATGAAGGTCTGTAGTTTGTTTGAGATGCTCTTTATGACGCGCAGTGCAAGTCTCTGATCCGTATAGTAGCACTGACTGACTTCACATTGGAGTTGAAAATCCGGATCTTATTTTTGATGCTGAGTGCTGTTGACCTTCACACAGACTTGAGAGTAATGAAAGCTTGTCTTGCTTTTCCGATTCTTGCTTTGATATCCTCGTCAGTTCCGCCTGTAGTTGAAACGATGCTTCCCAGGTCGGTAGGTAAAAGAGGTTGTTTCTTTCAGGTTCCTCCCATTTATGCTGATCGTTGTCTGTTGTTGTTGTTCTTGCCCAGTGGTGTAGTCAAAGAGATTACCACTGAGCTATTCGAACTCATAAATGACCTCCTGTAGGACAGCATTGGATACTTTTGATTGGACACTAGGCAGTAACCGAGTATTTGCCAATCAAGTCGTAAACGTCAGACAAAAAATAAAATGTATCCTCTAGAGTTAACAGGTGAACGCAAATCAAAAAAAGAATATTACTCACATGTATATATGCTTCTAGAGTTTTCCCAGTTAAACTTTGAAATTCTTTCTTTATTATTCCCAAATCAATTTCACAACGAGATACAATTATACGAATTAGTGTTTTATTGTCTGTGCCTAAACCTTTCATCGACTTGTGTAGTTTTTCGGCGAAATACTTTGGTTTATTTTTAATACAAGAAACTGAAATAAAACAAAAATGGGACAGAGAAACAACAAAAAATTTTTAAAAATTCATGATTTTAATGTCAGTAAAAAGTTTGGAGATTCTAGAATAAATCAAATAAATTATAATTATCTTGTGGTGAGAGCTGTGTGCAAGCCAAAAATCAAACAACAGTTTACGTCAATGTTTACGTCCCAAATCGGGGTCATGAGAAAAAGACAATAACAAAGCTTAACCTTGAGGAACTCAACAACCAATCACAGCAGACTTAACGTGTGCAAATACGATTCGCAGATATATGGCCTCACTATCTAAGAAACGGCCACAAAGAGATGACAGAATAACCTTCAGCAAGGAAACAACCAATCAGAAGACGTTGCTTCTCTGCTAACAATAACGTTAATAATAATGTGCATAAAAATCTATAAATATCTGTTGATTTTCTGAATAAACGATCTGTTGCCTGGCCCTTATCTTCTGTTGTTACAATATTACAATTACAATTACTCAACAATACTAAGAACGACCAGAGATAATTCAAAAGGTAGAATAGTAGATTCTAAGAATTATTAAAAAGAAAGTTGCAGAGAAGAAAATTTTCCTTTCGACGAAGTCATCAACTAGGCTGTACATTCGTGTATTTTTATTACATGTGTGTGAGAAAGTTGCAGAATTATTTCCTGTCAGAGGTCAGATTAATAAAATTACTAAGTATTTTGATTGGACTAGTCTAGTGTGATGGTCTAGTTCTTTCTTTGGTGCAGACTGAATTCTATCAGTCAGGTTTGCAATGTGGCCACCATTCGAGGTAGCTCGCCATCATGATGCACATTGATTTGATGATATTAGATTGTTGGAGACAATCGGCACGAAGCCTTGGACCATCTGAGATTCGAACCCGTGACACTAGTTACTAGTGTCCAATCAAAATTATGCACTACAATCCTACGGGAGGTCAATCGCGAGCCTGAATAGCTCAATGTTAACGTCTCTGACTTCAGCACTGGGTGACGCGGGTTCAAATTTCAGAAGGGACATGAGTTCCTTCGAGGTTGCAGATACTCCTTGATGACTGTTGAGTGCCAACTAGCACGAAACCTAGGTCCAAGCAGTGCTTCCTGCCGATTGCCTCCAACTATCTATTATCATAAAATTACAAAGTGTAACAAACGGAAGATAGGTAGCGGTACTATTCTATAAATATTTCAGGTCAAAGGTCAAATTAAAAATTACAATGTGTAATAATCAGGAATTACTAGAAATTACTAGAAAACTAGTCAGTTTGTATAATTACGGGTTAAGGATGTAGTATTAACGAAATGGGTAGGAGGTTCGGACATAAACAAAAACAGTAACCAAATCTAATAATGCATATAGGGATTTAAAAGGTAAATATAACAAATAAACTGGAAGGGTAGACAAGAAAGGCAATAGGATAATCATTATTGGTGAGACTGACTTTTCATGATGGCCACGGTAGGGATAACAGTTGCACTGGACGTATTTCTTTTAGACACATAGAATAGCCTTGAGTTTTTGGAACGTCAGTGCCTCAGCTATTCCTTGATGTCTTGATTTCACTCCCTTTGGTAGGCTGGATCGAATATTATATATAGCTTTGAAGGGGCTCTGACCTATGACCGGGAATAATTCTGGAACTTTCTTAAACATGGAATATAAATACACAGATGTACAGCCTAGTTGATGTCTTCATCGAAAAGAAAATTTGCTTCGTTGCAACCGTCTTTCTAAATAATAGTAGATTCTCAAGTATTGGTTCTGTAGGGATTTTGTTTGATTCCATGGAGGACTTCATCATGAGCTGACATCAGTTAGAGAACCACTGGAAAACCTGAGAGTACTGGACAGCTGTTTCGTCCTAATTTGGGACTCTTCAGTAGATTCATTTGAATTAGTGAGACGAATGGAAAAGCACTAAAACAGATAGTTACTAGTCAGCTTTGATGTAAGCAGTCTCTACACTAAAATACACAATCAAATAGCTACTGATGCACTGGGAATGAGACTAGACGAAGATGATGGCCTAAAAGACAGGATACAATTATCTGTAGAAGAGATGATAATAAAAGGGGTTGAATTCTGTCTGACAACAACATATTCTACTTTTGAAGGAAAAAAATACCAACAAAATGAAAGAGGAGAGCCATGGGATCTCCCATCTCCCCAATAATAGCTGACATATTCATGGATTTTGGGGAAGAGAATGCGCTTAAACCATTCAGGTCATCAATAAAATGTTGGTGGAAATATATAGATGATACGTTAGTTATAATGAAAAAGAATGTTGAGAAATTCTTCTCACACACATAAACAGTCATGTCGACTCAATAAAATTCATTATGGAAATAGAGAATGAAATTGGAGAACTGCATATGTTAAACTGCAACGTACCAAGAGTAACAGATGGTAGCATAAAATCGACGGTATGTAGAAAAAAACTACACATTCTGGAAGATTCCTTGATCATCACTCAGCTCATCCACTCATGGTAGAACGAAGGTTGATACAGGGTCTTGCAGACAGAATACGTAGACTTCCGACAACACCAGATGACCAACGAAAAGAAATAAATGTCTTATTCAAAATGTTACTCAACAACAACTACCTAAAAGAATTTATCAAAGATAATGTAGAGAAGAGAAAAAAGAGGGTAAAACCAGAGAATGACAAGAAGGAGGATTTCAAGAAAATACAATCACAATACCATACAAAAATGTTACATGAGAATCATTTCGGATATTAGTGGACTAGAAAGGCAAATACTTAGGAGAAAACGCCATCACTGGCCAGAAATCATGCAAATCGAAGATATGTAAATCCTTTAAAATAAATCTGGCACGATCATTATAATAAATGTATTTTGTGCTTCCCAATGAATGACTTTTCGTTATTTAGTGCTGCTAATAACTTGATCAAAGTAGTACCATTAAACCAGAGTTTACAAAATCTCAGCTTGCATATAGCTACTTACTCATTGCTCCTCAGCATAAGGGCATTTTTACGTTGTTGTCAAGTTGGTAAAGATAACAAAACCATGTGTAGATTGTTGGATTTGATGGGTGTATAAAATTATAAAAGCAGCATGTGTTTACATAATGAAACTTCTTGCCACATTCGTGTTGATTTTGTCTCTTCATGGAGGAGGGAGGTGTTGTAACCAGGTCAAATTCTGATTTGGTCCATCATTCATATTCATCAGACAATTTGGATTCCATTTGATATGAAGTGTTTCTGATGATATCAGACGTTCTTTGGAATTTCTGAAATTTTTCTGGATGATGATTTCAATATTGTCAGAATCAGTTTTGTGGCCTGATTCTATAGCGTGTAAACCTATGGCTGGTAATTTTTCAACCTTTTCTAGTTCAAATGGATTTCTAGGTAGTCGAATGGATACTCTATGGTGTTCATTTCTTCTGATGAGGAACGATGATTAAATAGTTATTTTTAAGCTGTGATTTTGTAAATTCTAGTTTAATAATACTACTTTGATAAAGCTATTAGCAGCAGCATTAAATAGCGAAACGTCAGTAGAAACAACAGTATCGTTTTTTTTATTGATTCATTGGGAAATACAAAACAGGTCTTTATTATAATGAATATCATATACCCAGTGCCCAAATTTTTCCAAACTGTTAAAAGTGAACTTGGTTTGGACATATATAAACCCAGTATAAAGTCGTACTCTTATGTGATGTTCATCAATGTCTATACAAGGAAATACATTAAAACTCTTCTGGTTCCACAGAGTATTGATGACAAGTGCTTTTAAAATAAGCTACTCACTTACAAAACAGGAATACGATGAAAAATTAACTGAGACCAGACTTCCCAACAAATGTAGTGATGTGATGACTAATACGAAGAGTAGGTAAGTCACGACGAAGTACAGCCCATTTGTGAATCACGAGAATGATGAAGTAGCGAGACTGAAAGTGACAGCGACAACAAGAGGGGAATTAACACCGAATACCAACAAGTTGGTTGAATACGACTCCAAAATGACACCTTTCAGTCACTGCTGACTTGATACATTTACTTTATAGGTGTGACTACCTTCAATCTTTTGTGAATAATACTAATGACAATGAAGAGAATCTCAAACAAACTACAGACCTTCATCAACAGATGTCTTGGCTCAATACTACCTAAGATCAGATGACCGGTCTGAAAAGATCAGCAACAGGGACGGATCTCTGGCGATGAACGAACCAACCCAGCAGGAATCAACTGTGCAACGAATATGCAGAAAGAAATTGAGGTGAATTGGCCATACTCTGAGAAAACAAACCATCAACAAGTGACATCGCACGTCAGGCCATCGCTCGAGTGAAACCCGAATGGGAAGCGGCGAGTTGGTCGTCAGTGAGAGGGTGACATGGAGGAGGAGGTGGTGTGAAGAGGAGATGAAAGCATGTGGGCAGATATGGAGCCAGGTGAAAACATTGGCAGAGAACCGAATGCAATGGAGACGTGCGGCTGAAACCTTATGTTCCTCTAGGAACTAAACGAAACAACAATAATATAACTAATGACAATAATAATAATAGTAGTAAGTGATTATAACTCCTTTGAAGTATTCACATTATCGATTAATTCACAACACTAACCAATTGATAGAAAGGCACGCAGTGTATCTCCATGCATTTCTGCCTTTAAAGTATCTTCAATATTGCGTTTTCCAATGGTTGTATACTCTTCAAACACCAAACGCAAATGAGCATATGATCTTGAAACGAGTATTTGAACAAATCTGTGAAACAGATGGGAAAATGATGATGCACATAATACGATTATAAAAATAATTTTTAGAGATTTTGCTAAAGCAAATAAACTTTTAAAATCAAAAAGATCGTCAATAAACGTGATTTGTCAATTTATAGGTAGCAATCTGAAAAATTTCTATTCGACCAACGGGCAATTAATTTCCCCATGAAAAAAAAGGCTTTGCGTAGGCGGATACAGTTAGCATATGGATGATCTGACACAGCCACAAAGAGATGCAAGGTTAACTTTCTGTGAGGAACAACCAATCAAAATACTGTATTTCCTACTAACAATAATCTACAATAATGTACATTAAAATATATAAATATGTGTTGATTTCCTTAATAAACGATCTGTTGCCTGGCCCTTGTCTTCTATTGTTACGACAGTAGTGGTCGGGCTTGCATATTGCAATGATTCAACAAGCTACACTGGCTATAACTAATTTTCCTGTAGGTTTTACAATGCTAGGAAGACTGTTAGAATAGCGATTAGGCTAAAAACAGTTACCGGAATAGCGAGTGATTCTTCTTGTCACTATGCTAGAGGTCTGTGACCAAAGTTGAACTGCTGGGGAAGGGAAATGTAATGGCAGTAAGGTTTTTCCTTTAGAAGAGCAGCATGCCAGCTATACTGCCTCCCCACTCTACGGTTATCCATAGCCGGTGGTAAGTTACTAACTAGTAGAGAACCAAACCTTAAGGGTAGTTCAAACAGGCGATGTGTGACTGGCCGCAAGTAGTTGTAACCTAGGCTCTGTGGACACATACCCCAAGAAAATATCGATTTCCACGGTGTGTAGGCAGCTGAAAAGTAACACCCACCTACACTCTTCTAAACGCACATGCTTAAAATCGTATAAAATATGGATGTGTTTTAGATCAAAGTAAAAATAAAAGTTAATCAGACAATGGATCTTGTCAGTTGATTTTCTGATTTGTACGAGGGCTATACTGCCGATCGAATTCGATAACGTCAACGACATTTGATATCAGTTGATGTGGCATGCATTAATTATAATTCTGCGACTAGGATCCGATACGGAGAAGCAATAACCAAGCCTTTTGAAGACCGACTACCAAATACTGATTTGCGATCCCTTCTGAATCCTAGGGTCCATGCATATAAGGAAAAAAGATAGACCGGTCCATGCCTGTGACAGCGATTTATTTTAATATGCAAACAAACAATATATATAAACATTACCGACATAGAAAACTGGAGCCGACAAATAAACAATAAAAGTTTGCTATAGTTGTGCTCTCTAAGCTGGATGGTTTATTTACGAAGCTTTCATTACCTCCTACTAGGCAACATCTTCAGCGCATACTTCAGTTTGAAGTAAGCTTTGAAGATGCCTCACGAGTTCATTAGTCATCCTTCCTGGTAACCTTGAAGGTGATTGTCGTTTCTGTGTGTTATCTCACCCTATAGTCTATTGTATTGGTATTGATTATTTCCTTGAGCTGATGTCTGATCATTTGTGTGTGACATTTTCTTCTTATGGATTGGTAAGTCTCGTCTGTATCAATATGTCAGCGAATTGCCAATTCACTTGAATACCAGGCTTCTAAAACTCCTCTGGTGTTTTTGGTTTTTTATCTGTCTAATATTCGAATGTTGTCCCAATGGAATTGATGTCCATGGTTGTCTGTAGGCAGTGATGTGAGACAGTGATATCATGTCTTTTGGCGGCTAGAAGACACAATAACCACCCCCTCATATCACTGCCTACAGAAAACCATGGACATCAATTCGACTGTGACAATATTTATAATATGCTCAACAAAATAGTTCGGTTAACTGAAATGAGAAGACAGGTATGAGCAGCCAGTTCTACGAAGTAGAAGTGATACATCTGCTGAAAACTGGACAGATTCCTTAATGATTCTAGTGAAACAAAAACTTGGCCATCAGTTGCATCTAATAGTTTAGAAGTTGACATGTCAAGCTAACAAACTGTAGACCTTCAAGTATTGGTTTGTAGGGATTTGATTGATTGGTTACAGGATTTCATCGTGAGCTGACATTGGTTAGGTAACCATTGGAAAACCTGGGAGTACTGGACAGATGTTTCGTCCTAATTTGGGACTCTTCAACAGTACACACCCACCGGGGAAGTCGTCACCAGTAGGCTGCAGTAGGCAGGGTGTGAGGACAATTACTCGCCGAAGATACTGGCTAACGGTCGCGCTACGTCGTGGATCGGCAGAAGTTAGAATTCATGGGCTGGCCATTGGATCGTGCCCCAGTGGCTTAATGGTCTACGAGCTCGCCTTGTAACCAGAAGGTCCTAAGTTTGAACCGCGGTGGGTAAGTACTGATGAAGTGTCCCAAACTTGGACGAAACGGCTAGCTGTCCAGTACTCCCAAAAGGTTTTCCAATGGTCCTCTAACCAATGTCAGCTCATAAATGAAATACTGTAACCAAACTGTAGACCACTAATCTGAGTCTTCTAACATGACCTCAGCTTAACTTTAAACTCCAGTTATTATCGATCAGTTAACCATTCTATTAAAATGGTGGATTTAAAAGTTATTTTCCAGAATTCACTTTAACAACCTTGCCTAATTTACTAGTTTAACAGTTTTCTAGGCAGTCTTAAGCCCCCAAAACGATAAAAAGTTGAACGTGGGACTAACGACGCTACCCTGGAAAAGTTAACCAAGCTGCTACGGAAACTTTAACGCCCAGAATTTAAAAAGTATACCTAGAAGAATAGAGAGTGAAGAATAATCAACCTACTTGGATTCATCTGTTCCTAATTTTTGTTCACCTGCCCTGTATAAACTTTCTGCATCTCTTCGAGCAAGTTCTGTATCGACTTTTGTTGATTCATCTCTATTGGCTTGTAGAAGAGCAACGCAAACACGCTTGAAATGACGTGATGTATCACCTTTTATATCATTTTCCAAATCACGATTAGGGAATACTAGTGATACAAAGTAAGAAAAAATAAAAGGTATGTTAATTTTGCCAGGCGTTCTAAGTGAATACAAGAGTAAGACAAGGCTGGCTGACTGCCTATTATCACCTACGATGATATTCTTAATTTTGGTGGACTGTAATATGTGTCAGACTGTGCTCGGGGAATGACAAGACAGGAATTCGTTGGACCGATACAAAGACTCTAGAAAATCTGAATTTCACTCGGGGATGACTTATGTTTAATGTCACACAAACTCGAAGACTTACAGGTAGGAGAAAGCGAACAAACAGGCTGAAGAAGCTGACAGAGAAGACAGGACTCCAGGTGAACGTAGAGAAGACGGAGATGATGAAGATTACTGACCAACCAACGAACAGCAACAGCAATAACAACAACCAACACCAATCACCATCAACGTGAGAGAAACAGCGTCTCAACTACAGGCGAAACGGAAGATGTCAAAGTCAGAATCGGAAGGGCAAGTCACGCCTTCATCATCCTGAAACCAGTTTGGAAATCTTCCGCTCTCACTCAGCATAAACAACAAGATTCGGATTTTCAACACCAATGTGAAGTCAGTCAGTTCTTCTATACGGGTCGGAAACGCACTGCGCGTCACGCAAACGATTTATAACAGGCTAATGCAGAATTTTATCAACAGCTAATCCCTTCGCTGGCTGTCTTTATACTGAAAATCAAATGGCCAGAAAGAATTAGTAACAAGAAACTCTGGCTGGCAACAAACCAACCGAGAGGCGATTGCTCAACGAATATGTAGGAGAAAATGCAGATGGGTTGGTCGGGCATATATTGAGGAGGTAGTTAAATAACATCAAGCGCAATACAGGTCTTCGCCCAAATGGGATCCGAATAGGAAGCGACGAGTGGGTCGTCAGTGAGAGGATGATATGGAGTGTGGCTAGGAGAAGGAGATGAGAGATTATGAGCATTGTGGGTGCCGCTGAACAGGAAGGTAGATAATAGAACAATGTGGAGATGTGCTGCTGAAGTCCTATGTTCCACTCAGAACTCAAGGGAATAATAAATAAGTAAAAATAAATAATTCTGTACATGTAGTATCAAGTGTGTATATATGCCAACAACTGATTGGTTTTAAAGAGTTAAGAAAATGATATACAACAATAACAGGGAGTATTAGCTTGATAAACATTCTGCACATAAATGTGTTATCACTATAGAGGTGATCACGATCTATTACACATTTCAAAATGAAATCAATACAGTTATTATATTTTCGTCAAGAACCAATATCAGTTAGAGAGAGTGAGAGCAATAAGAACCACTAAGGACAACTATTTCTGTCGTCTTTTATTGAGATTATTCAGTGGCTTACACCAATAAATCCATCAAGAATTCAACAACCCAGGACCTTCGGTTAACGAGACTAATCTCACAGACCATTAGGTCACCTGAGCCGGTGGAATTCAATGTCCTCTGAATTCTTACTTTGTGAAATCATGAAATAGTGTTAGCCTCACCACTGCTTTAGGTGAGCGTCCAATTCACCTTGATATTGGTGGATTTCATTGGTCATGACTTCCACTGCCGCTTCAGCAGATCCATCCAGTGGCCATCAGTGTACTGGCGATTATTATTCAGATTAAAGGATTTGTGGAGATTTTCATCATGAACCAGTATCAGTTAGAGAGATGTAGATGATGCACATTGAAGGTACTGGTGAAATCAGCTCTAGATCACGAGTCGATAAAGTTAGAATTCAGGGCTGACTGAATTCCAGCCCATGTGGTTGAATCATCAAAGAGCTTGTTCTCGTAGCGTAAAGGTGCTAGGTGTGATACTTGGCGGGGTCATAGATTAGCACTGATAAAGAGTCCCACAACAGGACGAAACAGCTGTCCAGAGCTCCTTACTAGTTTTAAATCATCTCTCTAACTCATGTTGATTGGTTCATGACGAAAATCTAAACATTTTAATACACCAAAAAACCACACAAAGCGTACAGTCTGAAATCAATACATTTATCTCCTGGTTCAACTGTTATGTTTATAACTAACAACTCAATCAGCATTTGTGAATTCTATGCTGCCGAATTCTTTTTGTTTCGATGCTGTTAGCTTTATACTGAAGCAATCTGTAGGATTCTCAGTGGAATTCATTGCATGATGATTTTAATTCGTCCAGAATCTTCAAATAAAATAATACATGAAGGCATATCGCGTGACGCAATGCTCTTCATTCTGATACATTAACCAATCCCCTGTGACATGTTTTCCTCCATCTGCTTCAAGAAATACGCAGTACTGGATTCGAAAGTCAATTAAAAATGCGCGCGAGTAGATTTTGCTACTCAAGGATATCCTTGAATCACTAAAACAATAAGAAATGGAGAAAATAGTTTGATAAAAATTCAAGTAGCCCACTGACTCAAGGAGGTTACCATAGAAACATGCATAATTTATTCTTAACTTGAGCCCCACTACCTATCGAATTATTTTATCTCACAGTGTTCTCATATTTGGGATATGAGTGCTGAAGTTACACAACTATATATTACAGAAATTTTCAGCGTATTTAGTTCCAAAATATTTCCTCTTTATACTGAATTTTCGCTTAAAGCAATAATCTGAAGTACATCATTTGTCTTAGTATTGTTGCATATGAAGAGAAAACCAATTCTGTATATTCTTTTCTTCAATTCCTTCAAGAATTGCATAGTGTATTGTAGGGAACTAATTATGTATGCGTGCGAGTTGGTGTATTGGCTATTTGACATAATTACACGATTAGAATAATAAAAAGTGCAGAAGAGTTTAAGCAGCACTTTGATGGATGGAAATTCTGGTAGCTCAGTGATTTAAGTAGACCGCCACTGTATTTTTACTAGTTATGGTTACATACACGTAAAAGAAGTTCAGTAATTTCAAATTAATTTCATTATGTATCGGAAGTTTCCAGAGAACGATTGAAATTAAAGTGTTCAACTGTTGGCATTCAGACATTTGACTGATTTTAAGATTGATTACGAATTGATTTCAGTTAGAGAACCACTGACAACCATGTGATGATAAACAGCTGTTTCGTGTTAGTTTGAATTCTTCAGTAGTATGCACCGATGATCCCATCGGGAATCGAACTTAGGGCTTTCAGGTAACAAGGTGAGGTAGTATACTATTTAGCCACTCCGACGAAACACAATGGTCCATGAATTCTGACTTCTGCCAAGTCGTTATGTTTAGCGCAACCTCCAGTCAATGTCATCGGCGTATATTTTTCTTCATGCCCAATTTGGTGTAAACCAATGATCACCGCTTCTCAAAAGAACTTGATGAGGAGTCATGAGTGCCTACTGATGAAGCGTCTCAAGCAAGAGTGAAACATTTATCAAGTGCTTGGTAGTTTCCAATGGTTCTCTAACTAAAGCTAATTCATGATCAATCTAGAAACTAAAATGTAACTCTTCAGTGGTACAAAATTATGACTTCATCCACGATTAAAAGAAAAAGTTGAAACTTCTCAGTTAGATTGCAAGAGTACAAATATATGAGCACAGTGTTGTAGGGTCTCAAACTTGGAGGAAACAGATGTCTAGTACTTTGTGGCTTCTTGTGGTTCTCAAATTGATTTAAGTCCGTAGTTTAACTTCAAATCATTCAGATTCCTGCAAACCAACACTTGAAAATTATTGTAACAGTTTGTACAAAAGGAGATTCATTCATACTGTTTTAACGTTTCTTTTGATCAGACACTAGTTAGTATTGAGTGTCACACGTCTAGTCCTTTGTTTGCTGTAGACTGAATTCTATCAGTCAAGTTAGCAATATGGCCAACATTCCCCCTAGGTGGCTCGCCATCAGGGTGCACTGTGGACTGTTGATATCAGATGGTTGGAGACAATCGGCACGAAGCCCTGCCGGAAACTAGGTTTTGTGCTGGTTCTCACTCACCAGTCAGGATGGCTTATCTACAACCTTGAAGGAACTCATGTCCCTTCTGAGATTCGAACCCATGTCACCCAATGTTGTTGTAAGAGGCTTTACCACTGAGCTATTCGAGCTGGCTCACGATTGACCTCCTGTAGGACTGTATTGGATAATTTTGACGCTAGTCAGTAACTAGGGTCATTTGTCTAGTCCTTTTTCAGGTGCAGCCTGAACTCTATCAGTCAAGTTTGCAATATGGCCAGGATTCTAGGTGACACACCTCCAACCATCTAATATCAACATTTTCTTTATAAATAACCTAGAACTTAGATGTTTGTTTTCAACCGATTATTTAGATGTTCTCCCCTTTCTCTTTCTCATTTCAAATGGTATAATATGGTGAGTGCTGTGCAAGAAGGGCAGATCATTCGATAAGATTGTGAAGCTACATAGGATGAGATGACTAGGACACGTGTTATGTATGACGAACCATCGCCTTCCACATCGATCAATGTTAACTAACATAGGATTAGGGTTGAAAAAGAAACCAAAACCGGGTATTAGTCCATAAAGTGTTTGACTGCTGGTTTGAAACAGCCACATTAGGAGGTGTAAAGTGTCTTGTGTGAAGTCCTCGGAATGCTATGAACCAATGGCTTGAGACTTTTGGTGATATGGCTCAAAATCGTTTTCAGTGATGTCCCTACATTCAGCCATTTCAATCTTTCAGATCTTCGTATTCTTCCGTGTACTTGTTCTTTCTTCCTTATATTTCCGCGCAGAATGGTTCTTTTGAATTACGTTTCTCTTCTCTACCTTTAATCTACTACATAGAGTGTAGCAGCTTGAAGTGGTGAGATTCTGTGGGAAGTCCTACGTTGAAACTCAGTCAGTCTGTCAGTTAGTCAGCTACTGTATGTAGTTATACTTTAAATTCATGAAAACTTCTTTCACTACAGAGGTTTCACGACGACGAAATTCATCCCTCTGAATACTAAACGAAGAGCCTTGGTGGGAACATCATCACTCACTCCGGAATGCAGGTATATCCAGTTAGCTGACGAGTCCCAAATAGGACGAAATGAGCATCCAGGATTCCACTGCTAGATACCATTCACCAATAAAACTTTTAGAATAACCTTTAGTTTTAAAAAAGCCAACCTGAATGCTTCATTTATAACTATTTCTAATCGAATGGGGAATTCATTAAGCCATACTCACCTTTAGTATACGTTTCTTTAATCTGTTTTATTTGATCATTTGTCCGAGAGCATAGAATTTCAATTAAAGCATCTTCATCTGTACCTGCTCCTTCTACAGCTCTACGTAATTCACGTGCATCTAATTCCACAGGTGAATAACACAATGCCTTCATACAATCATATAAGGCGCCACTCATTTCTGATTTAAATTTCGACGTTAAATCTTTACCAAATATTGACTTATATCGTTGTGTTATGACTACACGTTGTTCTGATGATCTGTGACCCATAATTTCAATGACAGCTTTTTCATTTGTACCCATACCAGCCATAGCTTGATGTAATTTTTCACAGTCTTTGTCAGGATCAAAATCAGGTGAAGGTTTTAAAGTTGGTTCTAACTGATAAAAGAGTTTGAAAATGAAAAAAATGAAGGTGAGGGTATTAGATAGTGTAATAGTATAAGGATGCAGAAAACTGTTTATTTACTAGTGCAAAGAAGGTTAGTTAGTTCATGCCTAACACTATTTTCATCACATAAAATACGTGCCGCCAAATATGGTATAGTGGAATTTTTATACTCAGACGTACGTGCATAAACTCCTCTGAAAAGACTTCGTGTTTTACCTGAGTAGACACAAGGTTGGAGCTGCGGGTGCTGCAGTGGATGCTCACAGTCTGACAAGATTCCTTTAGCAAATTTGTTGCATGACATCAAGTGTCTATCAATGACAATGTCAACGATATGGCCCAATGGGATACCACTCACCCTACTGACCGACATACTTCAGAGTTCTACGAAGTATGAAATAGTCTTTTTTAAGCAATCTAGGGAAGAATAAGGGTGAACAGTAAGTTCATTCATTTGATCTGATGTGTTATTTTAAAGAAACTTAGTATTTGAACTGTGATACACACTAATATTTGTTCATCACTTTTTTACGGCTACCAACGAGTAGGGAACCACTTGATATGAAACCTGAGTAGCGTTCCAAATGTACCAATCAAATCAAATGTCTCAAGTATTAGTTTGTAGTGATTTAATTGGTTTCAGGATTTCGTCATGAACTGATATCTGTTAAAGACCATTGGAAAACCTGGGAGTATTGGACCAGACCAGTACTGGACCGCACTTCTACTGATATGACTGTGGCGACGGTATCAGTAGGAGATAACTTGGGTCGTCACACCGTTCCTGGCGTAGCTCCGTTGATAGTAGCAACGGGCATCAACCAAATTTGTCAAACCTCACAACCTACTGATACATTGGCGACGGTATCAGTGGGGGCTGGACTTAGTCGTCATCAATCCAACCCGATGAACCAAACGAATTCAAAAAATATCATGCCGGATCGGCCGTGGCCCGGATTAACAACGACCGCGCTCTCCGCTGCCGTGTCACAGGGCAGAAGTGATAAGTACACTACTGAGACACACCAGGCCGTGTGTGACCGGCGTCAAGCAGATGTCTCCTGGGCTCTGCGGTCACGCAACACTAACCTTTCTTCTATTTCAGGTACCCAAAGACTAAACTCAGGCGTGAGGCCAGCAACCCCACCCTGTAAACAAACCTGCTACAGAAACTTCAGCGTGAACAATCTCCTTGCGTCAAAAGAAAAAGTCTGTGTGGGGACATGGAATGTCCGCACCATGTACGAGACTAGCAAAGCTGCCCAGATCGCAAGCGAAATGAGAAGATACGGACTACAAGTATTGGGGATCTGCGAAAGCAGATGGAACGGAAACGGACTCACCAAATTGTCAACAGGTGAGTCAGTGATTTACTCCGGTCACCCAGAAGACAACCACACACACACCGAGGGCGTGGCTATCATGATATCACCAACGGCAACGAAGGCCCTGATGCAATGGGAAGCGATCTCTCCCAGGATAATAACCGCCAGATTCAACTCCAAAGGAAGAAAAGTGTCAATTATACAATGCTATGCACCCACAAACAACGCAGACCTCGAAAAGAAAGAAGAATTCTACAGACAACTACAGGCAGCAATAGACAATACTCCAGCCGGCGACATTAAAATACTAATGGGAGACATGAACGCAAAACTTGGACCAGACAACGCAGGAAGGGAACTCATCATGGATAAAGAAGCTCTGGGAGAGATGAATGAAAACGGAGAACTCTTCGCCGACTTCTGCGCCTTCAATGAACTAGTGATTGGTGGCAGCGTATACAAACACAAAGATATTCACAAGGCTACATGGGTGTCACTAGATGGGCGAACCAAAAACCAAATTGACTTCATCACAATCTCGAGGAAGTGGCGGCGCAGCCTACTGGACACAAAAGCAAGAAGAGGAGCAGACGTTGGCTCAGACCACTACCTCGTACAAGGAACAATCCAACTCAAATTAAAAGCTTTCAGAGAATCAGGAGCTGCAGATAGGCCACAAGCCAAGTTCAACACTCAAAAACTGAAGGACCAGGATACAAAGGATATCTTTACTGCAAGTATAAAGGACAAAGCTGAGACACAAATCAACATTAGCGAAGAGGTCAGCGTCGAAAAACACTGGGACAACCTGAAAACAGTATGGAGCGAAACCTGCATGGAAGTTCTGGGCAGAAAGAAGAGACAGGACAAACCGTGGCTCACTACGGACACTTGGAGGCTAATAGAAGAGAGAAGGATGGTGAAACAAAAGATTCTCCAGTGCAGCGACGAGCAACAGAAACAGGAGTTGAATGCAAGCTACAATATACTGAACAAAGGAGTAAAGAAGAGTGCCAGAGAAGACAAAAGAAAGTATTATGAAGCCATGGCCAATGAAGCAGAACAAGCAGCAGGCAAAGGAGACCTCGCAACACTCTACCAAACAACTAGGTACCTCTCAGGCAGAAACTCGTCACAAATTAAGCCAGTGAAGGATGAAAATGGAAAGTCAATCACCAAAGAAGTGGAGCAAAGGAAACACTGGGCTGAACACTTCAAAAGACTACTAAACCGACCGCCACCTACAACGCGCCCAACAATACCAACAACGGAAGCAGAATTACCAGAGAACATCAACCCCTCGACGAAAACAGAAGTCCTGAAGGCAATCAAGATGCTGAAAGCTGGAAAAGCAGCAGGACTAGATGGAATCCCAGCAGAAGCATTGAAAACGGACCCAGAGACAACGGTGGACTTGATGACGCCACTACTGGAGAAGGTGTGGAAAGAAGGCAAAGTACCCGAAGATTGGAAGAAAGGATACTTATTCAAACTACCAAAGAAAGGAGACTTAAGTCAATGCAAGAACTGGCGCTGAATTATGCTCCTGTCCATCCCAAGCAAAATACTAAGCCGCATCATCCTGGAAAGGATCAAACAAGCCCTGGATGAAAAACTTCGACCAGATCAAGCTGGATTCAGGAGAAACAAGTCATGTATTGATCAAATCTCCACACTACGGATCATCATTGAACAAAGTTTGGAATGGCAGTCACCTCTCTATCTCAACTTCATCGACTTTGAAAAGGCCTTCGACAGACACCGTCGATCGAGAGGTGATTTGGCAACTACTTCGCTACTACGGGGTGCCACCGACAATTAAACATCTCATCCAACAGTTGTATGACAACGCTGCATGCCAAGTAATCTACAACGGGAAGCTCACGGAATCCTTCGAAGTGAAGACAGGAGTAAGACAGGGTTGCCTACTATCGCCAATGATTTTCATGATTGCGGTAGATTGGATAATGCGACAAACAGCGGGCAATGAGGAAACAGGCATAAAATGGACTCACACAAAGAACTTGGAGGATCTGGACTTCGCCGATGATATATGTCTGATTTCCCACAAACTGGAAGATATGCAAGTGAAAAGTAACAAGTTGGCAGAAGAAGCATCAAAGATAGGACTCCAGGTGAACATAGAGAAAACGGAGATGATGAAGATCCCTGGACAAGAACAACAACAACAACAGACAGCAATCAGCATAAATGGAAAGAACCTGAAAGAAACTACCTCCTTTACCTACTTGGGAAGCATTGTTTCAACTACAGGCGGAACTGACGAGGATATCAAAACAAGGATCGGGAAAGCAAGGCAAGCTTTCATTACTCTCAAGTCTCTCTGGAGGTCAACATCATTCAGCGTCAGAAATAAAATCGGGATTTTCAACTTTAATGTGAAGTCAGTACTACTATACGGATCAGAGACTTGGCGTGTCACAAAAAGCACCTCAAACAAGCTACAGACCTTTATTAACAGATGTCTTCGCTCAATACTCAAGATCAGATGGCCGGAAAGGATCAGCAACAAAGATCTCTGGGAGCGAACCAACCAGGAACCGATTGTGAAACAAATAGGCAGGAAGAAATGGAGATGGATTGGCCACACTCTGAGGAAACCAGCAAGTGACATCACTAGACAAGCCATTGCTCGAGTGGAACCCGAAAGGGAAGCGGCGAGTTGGTCGTCCAAGGGTGACCTGGAGGAGATCATGTGAAGAGGAGATGAAAGCATGTGGGCAGACCTGGAGCCAGGTGAAAACTCTAGCAGAGAACCGAACGCAATGGAGACGCATGGCTGAAGCCCTATGTTCCTCTAGGAACTAAAGGAAATAATAATAATACGAGTTGACAAACTGTAAAATGAGGAGGAATTGAGTTATGTCTGAGTGCCTTAACTTCTTAATGTAAAACGTCAGAGGGAATATTCTTTTAGAAATCTCTAAGAAATAGGATCACCAATATTAGATGTTTGGAGGCAATCGACAGAAAGCTTTGAACCTAAGTTGCGTGCTAGTTGGCACCTGTCAGTGAAGCGTTTCAGGAAGGTCAGTCGAGAGCCAGCCCGAATAGCTCAGTGGTAACGTCTCTTACTACAATACTGAGTGACACGGGTTCAAATCTCAGAAGCGACGTCATTTTCTTTTCAAGATTGCAGATACGCTTTGCTGAATGGTGAGTTTTAACTATCACAAAACCCAGGTCCAAGGTTTCCTGCCGATTCTCTTCTTACTCCTTTACGTTCCCAGTGGAACTTAGGGTGGCTTCAAGCTTGGGTCTTGAAGTTTCAGTAGCAGTGGTTGGTATTTATTTTTATGGGATGGGGTTGTTAGCCTCATGCCCAACCTTCCCTCTTTACTAGTCTTACTACTGGCTTAGCGAGGTAAAGGATTGCGTCGGTGGCCGGGGAACGAACCTCGGGCCACATGAGTTGTGGTTGGCGAGCATTATACCGCTGTACCACCGCCTCACACCGATTGTCTACAACCACCTAATATTAACAGTTCACAGTGAACAGGGATGCCAAGCGACTTAATGCCATGTTGTCCACATTACAAACTTAACTGACAGAACAGAGTCTGCACAAAACAAAGGACTAGACACGTGACACTAAATACTAACTAGTGTCTAATCAAATTATTCATCGATCCTGTTATAAAATTCCAGAATATCAACCTTTGTTTATCACCATCATTTTGACGCTGATTATTCAGTAAGTAATCAACTGATTGCTTTTGTTTACGTTTCTTTCAAGCGTCAGTGGCACAGAGGTGGAATGCTCGCCAACCACGCCTCGTGTGGTTCCAGAATAATTTCTGGTCAAGGGTCAAATTAATAAAATTACAATTAGGAATTAAAATGCCATATTAAACACTGGGGGGGGGATGGATTAAACTCAAGCAAGGTGGCAACATAATTACTGAGAAGAAATTGCTCAGCCAGAACGCAAAAGACAAGTTGTCGCGTTGGGCTACTTCAAAGTGCATAAATATCAGTTTACGTGCTTGTGTGGAGCTGAATACATTGGTGTACTATGCGCCAACTCGCGAAACGCGGTCGTGAGCATTATCCAGCCTGGATAGTAAAAGGAGAACGAAAACTTGTATGTAGTTCAGTGACAGAACATCTGGTCAATTCAGGACATTCAGCGCCATTCGAAAAATCCTTCTAAAAATCCTATACAAGATTTGATCAAACCTATCAAAGGAAGTAAAATCAAGACATCTGGGCATAGCCGAGGCACTAACCATTCAAATGCTCAAACCCACGCTATGTATCCAAAAGAAATACCTCCAATCCTTGTCCCTGCCATGGCCATCATAAACAGGTAATTCTTTTAATAGTGAGTACCCCATTGCCTTTCTTATCCAAACTTCCTGTTCATTCATGTTATTTTTAAGTTTTTCCTAGTCCCTCCCCTATTTACACTACCATATTCTCATATCCGAACTTCCTGTCTATTTTGTTATTTCTACATTTCTAACCCCTAATTGCACAATATGTCAATCTTCTCAATAATTATGATACTGCTTTGTTTGAGTTTTATCCTCACTCCCTGGTTCACTATGGCATTTTAATTCCTAATTGTAATGACGCTTGACCGGAAATTATTCTGGAACTTTCTCACGTATTTATTATAAATACACGAATGTACAGCCTAGTTGATGTCTCCGTCTAGACGAAAATTTTCTTCACTGCAACTGTCTTTTTATTGTTCGCTGTCATCCAATGTGCATATTCCGTGATATAAAATGGATATGTAACTATAGAGCCTGATGAATTTATCCACAAAAATATTTTTCGTTCACTAGTCTCAGCCTTTTAAATCTTTTAATGGATATCTTTAGTCGATTAAAATATTGAATACCGCTCAGACAAAATTTAAAAAAACTTACTGGATATTCTTCTACTTCACGATATCTATCATGTGCTGCCTTAATTTCTTCAGGAATACTATCCGCTTGACTTGTCTATAAGGAAGAAATAATCGATAAAGTTATTTATATAAATTTCATGAATTGAATTTCAGAATTACGTAATAAGTTCATTTATTAGATTTACCTTACAGTGATACAATATTACAGTAGATAACAATAGTATTTGAGCATTACGCATCACATTGTAAATTAATCCACTAAAACGTACACAGACTCCAGCTGCGAACAAACTAACCAAAAGCCGATTGCTCAAAAATATGTAGGAGGAAATGGAGATCGATATTGCATACACTGTGGAGGCCGTCGAATGACATAGGAAGTAATACAGAGCAACACTGGAGTGAAATCCCAATGGGAAGCGACGAGTGGGTCATCGGTGGGAGGATGACATGGAAGAGGTCGTGTGGCGAGGAAGAGATGACAGATTATGAGCAGTCGTGGACCTAACTGAAGAGGACAATGCCAAATAAAACAAGATGGACAAGTGTTGCTGAAGCCCTATTTTCCACTCGGAACCCAAGAGAATAATAATAATAAAGTAAACAGGTCCTAGTTTCACAAAAATGAATTCAGTCTGAATACATACATGTTAAGTTTTTCCTCAACCTAAATTTGAATGATAAGAAATAGGACCAGATGCATGTTTAAGTGAGTTATATAATCCTATCTGTTGACTATGAATGTTAATTACGAAACAGATAACAGTAGAAGGTTCTGTGACACAGTTTAATGATCACAATGACAAACTGATCGAAAGACTTCGACCAAAAATGGCATCGATTGATTGGACCGAATTGCTCGGTCTCAGGTTGACATGTCGGCTCCTTGTGCAGATGCTTTGGCTAGATATGTCTGGTTATGTAACGTGAAGTCAACTGATGGATGGTGACTAACAGTGAAATCCAGGAGGCGCATTTCGTCCTATTTGAGAATGGTCATCAGTAGACTGGATGTACCTGCATCCCCCAGTGCCTATCCACCAGTTGACACCAAGTTACATGACCAGACATCTTCCGTCGAAGCATCTGTACAAGGAGCCTGCATGTCAACCTTAGATCAAGCACTTCGGTTCAGTCATTCGACGGAAAAATCTAAAATTGAATTAAATAAATCAAAAAGCACGTTGCACAAGAAGTGTCTGTCACCGCCCAAGTGACCTAATGGATAACTCCTTGGCGAATGAAACGATGGGCACTGGGTTCGAGCCTCGACGGAAACGCCATCACTCCCCGGGAAATGTAGGTACACCCAGTTAGCTGATGAGTTCCAAATAGGACGAAGTGCGCGTTGTCCTTGATTCCACTGCTAGTCACCATCCACCAACTGACTTCAAAAATAAAGCAAGTTTACCTACGTCAATTAGCATCTAAGAACCACTTTATTAGATAAACTACGCTCCACCTTTATTTAGTAATTATTGAGTAATCTGGTCCCCAATAAAATGTTAATGTTAAAAATGTAGACCATCTCTATTTCTAGGAGTTGTGGTAGTGTTCAGTTGATAAGATTTCTAAATAGTATTACCTGCCAGTGAACTAGACTTCGTGGACACATTTATTCACAAACCTTTTACACAATGAAACACTTATTGGTTAAGTAAGTATGCTTCGGTTTCCAGGTGAACCAAACAAACTAATCCCAGCCTCCTGCAAGACCAGAACTGCATGTAGTATCATCTTGTGGTTCAAACACTTGGATGTACTCGCTCTAAGCGAATCTTTTAGGCAAACATTTAGTCAGAAAACTTTGGTGTAGTTTTTGTCAAGGAAAGAAAACTTCATCTGGGCAACGGTTGCTAAGTAGAGAACAATAATAAACTTATTATCAATATAAATTCACAGCTACGTGAGTGATCAATAAAAAATAAGACCGCCATATTGAAAGGCAAGCAGATTAGTATTCATACAATGTTTCCAATTTCTCAAAATTCATAAAAAAACGAAACATCTCATCAGCATCATTCAGTGTTATTAGTGAGTAGTTCCTCTCACATTTCATCTGACTAGATGCACAGTTCTTAGCTCTACAAGCCTATTCGTCTTTCAGTGGTTGTTGTCGTATCGGAAAGAAAGATATGCTGAAATTAAGGAGTATCCTGCAATTGTCAGTCTCTGTTTTCATGCCCAGCTCCTAGTAAGGAGAGTTCGACAATGTCTGCAGGTTAACATGATTCTCTTCCAACTGATAGTGGTAGGCAGAGGACGAAATACTCTGGTCACTGTCAACCAGAATTTGTTGAAAGTATCCGTTAAAACATTTTGTGTTTTTTCAAACTTTTAGAATACATCTTCCTACCACTTGATTCTTAAAACGACCTGTTATCATACTACCTATTTTCATACAGCCCTTTCCCTTTATTGTTCGTTTGAATAAAGAGAGAATGAACATATTTGCAGTCAGGATATTATGAGCTCGTTGCATTTCGTGGATTCTCTTCAACTGATGCGTACATCCTCAAGAAAATCAATCATATTTTACAAAAGACTGCCTGAACATAATTTTTACAATGATTTCAAGTTGTAAGTAGAAAGTATAAGCAACATAATTTCAAAGATGATGTAAGTAGACAATTACTCAGTGTTAAAAGAGTAACTTTTTTATTTCTTTACGTTCCCAGTGGAACATAGGGTGGATTCAAGCTAGAGACTTGAAGTTTCCGTAGCAGTCGTGTTCATTTTTCATACAATGATTCCCTTTTATAAATTTGAACAAAGAAAGAAGAAACATTGGCGCAGAATAATCTGGATCCATTTTATTTCGTCGGTTCTCATCAGCTGCGTACAACCTGAATTCTTTAATAAAATAAAAAAGTGTACAATTTTAACAAACTTTTGTCTATTAGCAAGCATATTATCGCAGCCTCCTAATGCAACAAGGCGTTGTGATTTACAAGGTGTCTAAAGTATTACGACATAAAAATATATCTTGTTAGAGAGAAGTTCCTGGAAAAAAATTAATTAACAGTTCTGTTGTTGGAGTGGTAAGAAAAGCAAATTAGCAATAGTTACGGAATTAGATAGGGGAAGATCAAAATTTCGGCGCACATGAGGTCAGATGAGAAGTTGACGATGTGGTACAGTTAGTGGAACTCAGAAGATCAAGAACCATTATCTCTTAAGAGAGTCAAGCGAAAAATAAAGGGGGGAGTGAAAAGATAAGTTAACAAAATTAGAAAACAAAGATTTAATAAGAAGTGAGTCACGAGGGTAACTGAAGTCCAACAACGGATTCTTTTTGGACACATAAATCAGGCTTCAATCGTTTTATTGCTATAGCTTTATTTTTACAGGATGAAGTTGCTGGCTTCATGTCCAACCTTCCTTCTTTACCAGTCTTATTACTCGGTTAGCGAAGTAAAGGAGTTCGTCGGTGGCCGGGGATCGAACCCTGGGCCATATGCATGGTCGGCAAGCATTCTACCATTGTGCCACCGACGCACTGGTGTTGTTGCCAGGAGTAAGTGCCTATATAATAATTAGTTTAGGGGGTGGAATCCAGATTTCTCTTGGAAACAAGAATAGATTAGTGACAAAATGCAAGATAGAACAATAGAGTCAACTTATACATATTATGGTGAAGAGTTCAAGAGGGTGGGGATAAATAGTGGAGTAAAATTATAAAATAGAGAAAACAGTTAAGTAGATTCGGAAATTTAATGGTGGGTTCAACTCAGTGAGTGAGAATCAAGGTCAAAATGAAGTGGATTGTTACGCAACAGAGAAAAATGCAAAAGTACACGAACAAAACAATTACAGTGAGAGATTAGTCACACTATCTTTCTGTATGCATAGGTTGGGTGGAAGTCTTTTGATGACAATGGCTTCTCCCGATCGAAGAAACCACAGTTTTCTTTGTGCATTGTGATTATTTTGAAAGCCTGACTAATTGCCACTATATGTCCCTTGTCGGTCAATTAGGTGTCAGGCGAGTTACCTTGAGAATACTTTGCTGTCTTTCAAATGAGGACTTTTGGGGAGATGCTCGGAAAATCTAGTAGACACTCTCCTCTCAGTCCTTCATATATACTTGCTGCCACAAATGCAGGTGAATTGGTAAACGCAGTTGGAGTTGACATGTGGGGCAGGCCACTTATCTACTTTTGATTGGGTTAACGAGCATACTGTTTTGTAAAGTGGAATGAGTTTGGTTACGGGAAATGTTCTTTCCAATAGACTCTTAATTCTGTTTTCAGTTCTTATAGATCCTTCTTCGCCTTTTTTTTTCAACTATTTCGGGCTTCGGTCTAGCTTGTTTTTCCTTCCCATATTTGGTTATAAAGTTTCGAGGGTGTACATTTTCGATAAGGTTCTTTTCAATGGCTGCGAGTTCCTCTCCGATATTATCTTCTGAGTACACAGCTGAATAGCGTTTTCTTCAAGCTCTGTTTGTAGCTAACTTGGTAGAAACTGTGATAATTCAAGTACTGGCAGTCAAAGTTTCTTTCCTGTAGATAGATTTTTCAATTGTCCCATCATTTCTTCTTTTTATTGTTGAGATCTAGGAATTTGAAGTGATTGTCACTTTCATGGTCCATTGTGAGTGTTATGTGAGGGTGAGCAGCACTGAAGTTTTCGAACATCGTGGATGCATGATCCATATTGTTGCAAACCACAAACTTGTCGTCAGCATACCTGCAGTAATATGTCGTCCTCTCTATTTCTGGCTTCATTCGTGTCTGTTCTATGATGAGTCATGAATATGTCTGCAAGAACAGTACCCAAAGGTGATCACATAACCATCCCGTCAATTACCTGGTACAGCTGATCTGGTTAGGGAATTGAATCTTAGGTGTGAATACATACAATAATAAAAATAGTAGTATGAAATGAAATTAAAATGTTTGTGATTATAATCACAATTAAATTTCAAGTGGTAAAACAAATAATGCCATGTATATAGGATAAATCATCGAATGTACAAATATTGCAGGAGGGTGTAAACATCGTCCAAGGGAGTGCGAGAACACCATTCTGCATGGATACGAATATGTGGAGGTTGAGCTATAAGACACGTAATCACTGAACATCTACTCAATACTGGTCACCCTACATCTACATCCTCTTCTTCTGAAGTCATATACAAGGCAAAAAATAATTTGCATATCCGACTCATCTGTATTTCTGAGGCTACGGTCATGGAAATAGAAAAGCCACACATCTGCATACAGAAAATGTTTGTTCAACCTCTCCAACTTTCGTGATCTTATTCCGTCTATGCTAAAGTATGATAATCCCAATTCATATTTTGGACCTACTCATATTTCGTTTTGTTTATTCAGTTGGTGTACTCTTCCTTTATCACTTCAATTTTTACTAATACAATTCTCACCTTGAACTATCCCCGGTATTATTTCACTTATTCCATTTGTCATTCTAAATCAATTCTGTTTTACAACGTTAAATTCTATGTTATCAAATTTCATTCAGTGTTACGTAACGTTTTTTTATTTTATTCTGTTTGCCTACTAATTTTATAATTGCACACTCCTTCCAAGTTCTATGCATCCTATAAATTATTCTTTAAATAGCGAAAATATTCATTCAGACATCTATAAAACACAAAATAATTGAGCAAAGAATATCCTTTTCAATAATTTCCTCTTCTGGCTCTACAATTATATATGCATGTTTATATACATAAAATATTCTAGAATAGTAGTCAATAACAATATTAGTGTTTTAATACTATCGATTTGTTAAGTAAGATCACAGTGGAATTACAGTTCAATAAGAGATGCATAAATTGTAATAATAATAATAATAAAGAAATATAACAGCAAATAGAATATCAACTAAAATTAAGGAAATTTCTACAAAAAGTTAAGGCTCATTCGAACCTAGATGGCCAAGGTAAGGACAATGTCTGAACTAGCTTCTTTTGGACACATAAATTAGGCTTCTTAATAAGGATCCCAACAGTCTCAGCAATATTTAGTAAACGAACTCTTAAGGCGAAGTTAAGATTTGTTGGTATGCACTGTAAATGATTGAAAGCCTCGTTGACATCAATCTTGTGTTCTGTATCCACAAAATGAGATAGAATAGCTCTATGAATGGATTTTCTTTGTCCTTTACTTAACCACTATGCAGGATGATGTCTGGAAACCCGGCGAGAAACACGCCTAATTGCAGTAGATTGGATAATGCAACAAACAGCGGGCAACGAAGAAACAGGCATAAAATGGACACACACAAAAAACTTGGAGGATCTGGACTTCACCGATGATATTTGTCTGATTTCCGACAAACTGGAAGATATGCAAGCGAAAAGCAACAAGTTGTCAGAAGAAGCATCAAAGATAGGACTTCAGGTGAACAAAGAGAAAACAGAGGTGATGAAGATTCCTGGGCAAAAGAACAACAACAACAGACAACGATCAGCATAAATGGGAGGAACCTGAAAGAAACAACCTCTTTTACCTACCTGGGAAGCATCGTTTCAACTACAGGCGAACGGAACTGACGAGGATATCAAAGCAAGAATCGGAAAAGCAAGACAAGCTTTCACTACTCTCAAGTCTGTGTGGAGGTCAACAGCACTCAGCATCAAAAATAAGATCGGGATTTTCAACTCCAATGTGAAGTCAGTGCTACTCACTATACGGATCAGAGACTTGCACTGCGCGTCATAAAGAGCATCTCAAACAAACTACAGACCTTCATTAACAGTTGTCTTCGCTCAATACTACTCAAGATCAGATAACCAGAAAAGATCATCAACAGAGATCTCTGGCAACGAGCGAACCAACCAATAACTGATTGTGAAACAAATATGCAGGAGGAAATGGAGATGGATTGGTCATACTCTGAGGAAACCATGAAGTGACATCACTAGACAAGCCATCGCTCGAGTGGAACCCGAAAGGGAAGCGGCGAATTGGTCGTCAGTGCAAGGGTGACTTGGAGGAGGTCATGTGAAGAGGAGATGAAAGCATGTGGTCAGACTTGGAGCCAGGTGAAAAGGTTGGCAGAGAACCGAACGCAATGGAGACGCACGGCTGAAGCCCTATGTTCCTCTAGGAATTAAAGGAAATATTAATAATCATGTAACTGGCTTCAAAGGAACAGTTAAAATGGTAGATAACACTCCTGTGGATATATATATATATATATATGATTGTTCAGATTGACACTGAATCCATTGAAAAGAGTCTCTTCTCTGAATCACTTGGTTTGATTTTCTCTGTGCCCTAAAGAGAATTTTCCACGAATAATACACTGAATCTTATTCGAAATATTCAATTTCATCTGCTGGTTGATATAAGTGGTAACCACCTACTCATACAGCTCAGTCAGTAGTATATGACTCCATAATGGATAAGATTTTATTTTGATAAATCACACAGTGTAGTACAGTTATATTAACTGATGACGTTTCGAGCACAAACTATTGCTCATAATCATATCAAGTTGATATCAACTTGATATGATTATGAGCAATAGTTTGTGCTAACACACTGTGTGATTTATAAAATAAAATCTTATCCATATGATAACTTACAGTGCCAAGTCGTACATTTAAGTCGGATCATTTTCTTTTTCGGTACCAAATCATGTTAGTGAAAGTAACTTACCTTTTCTGGTGAATTAGGGACACTTCCACTAGCTGGTGAACTTGGTTTATTAGGTGTTACCGATTTCGTTGGCACTGCCGGCTTCTTTTGACTTTGTCTATTTTCACTAGGACGTCGAGATGTTTTAGTTGGTTGTTCAGTTTTCATTGGTTTATCAAGATGGATTGTTAGTAGGTAACTATCATCACTTTCATCAAAATCTGCTGAAATTACCTAACATATATCGGAAATCAATAGAGATATTGTGTTACACAAATAGGGAAATTTAAACTGTTGGGAAAAATATATATTTCGTAAATACGTAAATGAAACATTTATTGTACGTTTCAGGTTTGCAACGCGTCGGCGGCACAGCGGTAGAGTGCTGGCCAACCACGCAGGTGGTCTCGGGTTCGTTCCCTGGACACCAACGCACTCCTTTACCTCACTGAGTTAGTAATAAGTTTGGTAAAGAGGAAAGTTTGGGCATGAGGCTAGCAACCCCATCTCGTAAAAATAATCACCACTGCTACAGAAACTTGAAGCCTTGACACCATAGTTGTTTATTTCTTCGGTTTCTCATCAACTGCTTACAGCCCGAAGACATTATTAAGTATGTTTACAAAAACAGGATTCATTCAAATTGGTTCTAAAGGTGAAAATATTGCAGCAATTGTCAATAGAAGATTTAGGACGTCACTAGCCAGAGCCTATCCTGCAGTTAAGCTGGTTCCCGTTTATCGGACAGCTTGGTCTTTGGTGGAATCAAAAATCAACAGATATCCTTCTCATGTTAACTCCAACTGTATATATACAAATTTAAATGTATTTGCGGGAGCAGTTACATTGGAAGAACAGAAAGAAGGGAATATCTACGATTTTCTCAACATGTAACAAATGCTTTAAACAGTGCCATCGAACGGCATCTTCTTGACACGTGTTATGAGGTGGATGTCGCAAGATCATTCAAAATTATCAATAGGCAAAAGAGTTCAGTTCTCCTCAAGTTTACCGAAGCAATTTCAATCAAGTGCCTAGAACCCGATTTATGTGTTCAGAAAAAAACGGTTATCAGTCTTTCCTTGCACATCCTGGGAACTGGATGTTTTCATCCTCTCTTCCATTTGATTGCGCAACGCCGAAATTTTCCATTGTGTACGATTATTATTGTTTGGAATAAAGTGATTATTATTACTATTACCATGGTATACACATATTGATTTTTTTTGTTTAAGCTTGAACTCTTTGTTTAAGTATGTTAAAACTGTTTCTGTAGATAGACTTAATAATGTCTTTGGGCTGTAAGCAGCTGATGTGAAGCCAACGAAATAAACAATGATGATGTCATTTTATTCTATACAAACCACTGTGTTGTTATTGCTTTATTAAAATTCATTAAAGGGAATAAATGTATGAAGTTTTAATTCGCGCAGTCTCTTGGATTTCAAGTTTTGATTAAGTTATAGTCTAGTTAGACCATCTAAACAAGATTTAGTTTATAGAACATTTTTTTAAAATAAGTTGAAGCAAGCTCGAAGATCATTAATTCCGGTTGTTTTCGTCGTAAAATCATGAAGGAATAATTACTGAGTTGTTAAAATATATGGTGTATATTTTTCTAATATATTTTCTGTGTACTGAAATTTCTGTAGCGATTGGATCGCTAGCACCACGCCCAACCTTCCGTCTTTTGCTAGGCTTAGGTTCGGCTAGTCACTGACTGACTGGCTACTGGCTTCAACGTAGAACTTTGCACAGATGTGCAGCATTTCAAGTTGCAACACTCCCTTCAGTTAGCACACAAATTTCAAAAAAGAGATAATAAACAGAGATGTGAGGCAAAAAGATGAGTATTATGGAAGAACAATAGAGTTTTATTGAATATGATAAATCACAATGAATGGATGCATCTGAGCCAGCGATCGACAACATGGATTTTGAGCCATATCACTAATTGTCTCCAGCCTTCATTGGTTTTTACCATCATCCCGAGGACCCCAACAAGTAAGTCAAGCACTCTACACCTTCCTACGTGGCTTAAACTAACTGTTGTGGATTTTATTGACTGATTTAATGTTTTGGTTTGACCACGACTACCTCTTTTCTAGCCTGATCCTCCGGTTAGTAAACTAGTAAACTAAGAGACGTTTGACCTGTCGAGGTGGATACAAACCACCAACATAAGCATATGAACTTTCAACTGAGACGTTGAAAGCTCTTGAAAGTTCGTTTACATCAAACAATCAGTATATAGTATGAAGAATATCCAACTCCGTTAACGGATATTCCTCCTTTAGATGTCCTCTGCAAAGGATAACCTCTTAACTTAAGACTGGTTACTCTGATAATCTTGATGTCTACAGTTTTGAGTCACATCTTGCAACTGTTTTCAGTGGTCACTGTTAAAGTGTCCGGCTTTTATTCCATAACTGTTTTAAAATAAGGTACTTATTGGATCAACAGGTACTTTTACTGGAAGCTTAAGATCAAATGACCAGCTGGAAGGGATGAACAACAAGAAACTCTAACAAAGAAGTAAATAAAAAGCGATCGTCCAGCGAACATGGAGGATGAAATCGAGATGGATTGGACATACCCTGTGGAGACAATTGAGTGGAATCTGAGTGGAAAACAACGCATTGGGTGTGATTCAAAGAACAACATGGAAGAAATTGTGTCGGTAGGAAATAGAAGAATATCAGCAGTTGTGGAGCAAGCCGAAAAGACTGCAAAGAACAGAAGGAAATGCAGATGTACTGTTGAAGACCACACCATGTTCCACTTGGAACCCAAGAGAATAATAATCATTTGGATAATCCCATAAACTAATTTGTCAATTAATACTGAATAAAGAAATTTTGAATGGTGTGATGAGAAACCTGTCAGTTTGTAAATCCATGACTTTACATGCACGAAAATATGAATTAATGATGAATAAACCAGATAGACATCTGATCAATAGTATACTCTTTTCCTAAAAAGGAAGTACTGAAGCAACTCAGAATGTGGTCTGTTTCCATTTTTAGTTTTTTCCTTCACGTGCAGTGAATAGGGCTTCAAGCTAGTCGCTTGAAGCTTCTGTAGCAACGTTTATTTTACAGGATGAGGTTCCTAGCCTCATGCCCAACCTTACCTCTTCATCAACATTATTTCTAGCTTGGCGAGGTAAAGGAGTACATCGATATCCGGGGATCGAACCCCGGACCATGTGCATTGTCGGCGAGCGTCCTAACCGCTATGCCACCGACGCACACATTTTTAGTTTTAACTAATGAATAGCACTCATTACAAATATAAAGGAGTAAGCTTTTTGTTGACAGCAAGACATAGTGTGACAAGTTATGGAGAGTCGATTTATTGTACAAGTTTACAACTCAAAGAATTGTTAATGAAAGTGTAGTTGAGTGTGAATTACTGCTGCTGTCGCATGTGCTACTTAAAAGATTTAATAGTAGTATGCAAAGAGATGTTCATCGGCATAAAAATATCGAATAGTAGGGAGATAAGTTACAAGATTTCATCATGAGCTGACATTGGTTTGAGAACCACTGGACAGCCCGTTGTTTCGTCCTAGTCTGAGACTTTTCATCACTACTCACTCACCACAGGGATTTTGAACCCAGGACCTTCCCGTTACAAGGTGAGCTCGTAGACAATTAAGCCACTGGGACTCGCCAATCTAATGACCAGTCAGCCCATGAACCCATCTTCTGACAATTCACGACATAGCGCGTCCACTAGCCAATGTCTTCGCTGGCAAGTATTTGTCCTCACGCCCAAACTGTTGTACTCTACTGGTCACGACTTACCACTAGAACCGAGAAATATCTGCTGAATAGGCAATAGCTAGTTAGAAGGGAGATATATTTGATGCCAGAGAAAGCAAATGATATAGCGTTGCGCAGATACATAGGAGAGGCGAAAGGAATACAAATAAATACAATATGAAGGTCAGAAGTAGCACAACACGGAAGATCTGTGAAAATGGTGCTTTGAAGATAAGGTGTACGTAATTTGTCTATAAAGAGATACCAAATTGTAAATAAACATTTCTTTAGCTCAACAAGTAGGCCTTTAAAGCCAATAATTCCAAGACTAATGGTTCAAAGAAGGTTTTCATCAGATAAGCCGGTTACATTCACCATGGTGAGATATTAGTCACACTTTAAGAAATGGCTTGGATTAAAATTCATTATGCAGACTTTTTCTTCTTTGGGATTACTCATTTCAATGAAATCGAATGTCAGAATACCCAAGGTGTCTTCAGTAAAAATATAAAGTAGGATTTTTATCCACTATGGGGGATCCGTACATGGGGGATGTATTTGAATACAAACTCATCTGATTAAAAAACTAATTTGTGCTGAAGATGTACTAAAACAATAACTGAAAAGATGAATACGGTGTCCAGCATCTGCCGATAAGACCAACAGCAAAATGGTACACCAGTTGACTGACTACTGGTCTTCAAGAGAACCGAACACGTCTATCCCTGTCATTTACGAGACGAAACCAGCATGTAGTAACATCCTGTGGTGCAACCACTCGAGAGCCCTCTCTTTTGGTGGATGCACCATTATTGGAACGCCAAAAGCAACCATAAGGCGCATAAATTTTTCTCCAAAGTGCTCAGGGTAGAGTGAAACCTCCTTTACAGAACTTTATGTTAGCCATTATCACATAAATAGCAGAATGTAAACGCCTTCAGTGTGCGTCAGTGGCACAACGGTAGAATGCTCGCCGAACCACGCTTCATGTAGTCCGGGGTTCGATCCCCGGCCAGCGATGCACTCATCTAACTCGCTAAGCCAGTAATAAAGCTGGTAAAGAGGAAAGGTTGGGCATGAGGCCAGCAACCCTATCCTCTAAGAATAAACACCACTGCTACTGAAACTTCAAGCCTCTAGTTTGAGGGAAGGAAAAAGACGCCTTCAACCTATTCTTCGTAAATAACATCCGTTTACTGAAGCATAAAAAAATTGAACTCAAGGGTTGATGATCATTCATTATGTCACTTGTCTTCTTTTTATAGTTCATTCACTTACATTACCAATTTTTGCTTGAGATAATGCCACTGAAAAGTCTTTATCTTGTCTGACATATTTAATCAAGTGATTTTTCACATGCTCAATTTGTTCTATTGCATTGCCCCCACCTGATACCGGTTGATGTGCCATATTGTATAAATCACCATTGTCTTTTGCATTAAATTTGTCAGTAAGTTGTTTCATAAGTCCACGAACTTCTTCTACAGTCATTTGACGTGTTCGATCTATGCACTAAATGGTTAAATAAATAAGAAAAAGTAAAAAAAAAATAAAATTTGAAAATAAGTATTACGTCACATCGGTGCTACACAACATTGGAGTAAAAGGGAATAAATGATGAAAACAGATCACTGGATCTCGAACTAATGACTAGATGGTAAAGTCGCAACGACAGAAGACAAGGGTCAGTCAACAGATCGTTTATTGAGAAAATCAACAGATATTAATAGATTTTTATGTACATTATTATTAGCGTTATTGTTAGCAGAGAAGCAAACTCTTCTGATTGGTTGTTTTCTTGCTGAAGGTTATTCTGTACTGCTTGTGACTGTTTCTTAGAAAGTTAAGCTCTATATCTGCGAATCGTATTTGCACACGTTAAGTCTGCTGTGATTGGTTGTTGAGTTCCCCAAGGTTAAGCTTTGTTATTGTTTTTTCTCATGACCCCGATTCGGGACGTAAACATTGACGTAAACTGTTGTCTATAATTTTGGCTTGCAGACAGCTGTCACCACAAAGTGATCTTCAATGGATATAAGGATGAAACTTGGGTATTGTGGTGGTAGAGTATAATTCTGTTATGGATAAAATTTTGTTTTGATAAAATTTCACAGTGCTGTTATACAGTAATATTTATTGATGACCACATTTCGAGCACAGTTTATTGCTATACTCATAACCATAACAACCCAACTACTTTCTAACTTCATTAATAAACATGAGTAACAAAATGATGACTAAACATATAAGTCAATAAATAAAAGTCAATGTAAAGTTCCATAGATATGTGTGAAACAGAAAAGAAGATAAAGTACATTCGGGTATCAGATGAGTGTTATCAATATAACATAACACGATGGAAGAAAGGACGAGTGGTTTTAGTTAATAAGATGGGGAATAAGACGTTTCGTCAGTAAAATAAAATAAACAACATGTTAGACTGTGATGATAACCTAAATTTTATGTATGTAAAACTTGGGCACTATAATAAGTAATTCCATATTAGTTTGTTTGTTAGATATATCATACAGTCAGTGAAACAGTATTAATATTTACTGGATGACAAGGTTTCAAACACAATCTATTATTGTTCATAATCATACCAATCAATTATAATCACACGACTTGGAAACTTGAGTTTTATAGTTTTCTTTGTTCTCTCCTATTTGTCGTCGTAGGGGTAGTAAAATTTTCCAGATGTCCGGGTGGACAGGTGTTGAATCATTCCTATTACACGTATTTGCAGTTGATTCGACAAACAAAACTTCTGTTATCAATCTCTCCCTATACCCTGTGACATTAGATTGTAAAACTGTCATCTTATCCCATCTTCCTATTGTATGTTTGCGTGTAATTGCTGTAGTGAGTGCTATAGCTGAACTATTCTCTAGATTTCTTATCTAATTCGGGTCAACTAATCTAGAATTTTGCTAGGTTTTTGTGCTCCGCTAGTCTGTCTGACACTGTTCTACTGGTATGACCTACCTATTTGATCTGACAATGATTACAGGCAGGGTATTAGACAAAGTAAATTATTTTGTTTTATTGGCTCTTCTGGTAGGATCCTTTAACCTACAAAGCTTGTTTCTGTTTGAGTTTGTGAGTTTGAATGCCACTTTCATTACTTCCTTGTTAAGTGATAGTTATAATAATATTAATGACGACATGCATGTCAAAAATACACGAGATAATGACAACACCAACAACTGGGAATCTAAATTATCAGTAGTACTTCCACACAAAGAAGGAACCTCAGAAGCCTTACGCAAAATTCTTAAAAGGCAGGAATAAAAGTGGCTGGCATTCAAAGCACCCATGTACTGGGTGTAGACTCGATAAACAAAGACTCTGTAATCAATCTCTCTCCACCTGCGTATAGTACGTTTTAGGATTTTAATTCTCTCTCACCTTATTGTGTGCTTGTGTGGTAATGCATGCAGTGCAATTGCTGAGCTGTTTTCTAAATTACTTATCTTCGTGAGATCAATCATTATATCCTCAGCTAAATTCTTATGTTCTGACAGGCAATCTGACTACTCCTGATTTACTAGTTTGACCTATGTAGTTGACCTCACTCACATCCATTGCAGGGTATTTTGTAAATTATATTATTTTGTCTAATTGGGTCAACTGGGTCCTTTAACCTAGAGAGTTTGTTCTATCTGAGTGATTTAGTAGGTTTGAATACCACTCTAATTCCTGCCTTATTGAGAATCCTACGTTGGGTTTTAGATGTCCCCTCCTTATATGTTAAAACTGTAGATCAATGCCTTATATTCTTTCTTATTTATTTTATCATTACTAGTTTCACTATTGTTTTTATTTTTCATTTCTGATTAGGATAATATACTGATACGAACAAGACAAGAATAGAACAATGAGATGCTCAATAGCGACTGGCCTGCCCTATCCAGGTAGTTAGTTACCTAGTGTTCTAGTAGGATGTCGCCACCAGTGGAGTACAGCAGTTCGGGTGTGAGGACAAATAGTCGCCGAAGACACTGGCTAGTGGTAGCGCTATGTCATGAATTGGAAGAAGTTAGAATTCATGGGCCGTTGGATGAGGTCACAGTGGCTTAATTGTCTACAGCTTCGCCTTGTAACGGGAAGGTCCTGGGTTCAAACCCTGACGGTGGGTGCGTACTTCTGAAGAGTCCCGAACTAGGACGAAGCAGCTGGCTGTCCAGTACTCCCTGGCTGGTTTTCCAATGGTTCTCTAACCGATGTCAGCTCATAATGAAATCCTGTAAGCAACCAATCAAATCCCCACAAATCAATATTTGAATAAGAATAGGACAGTTGTTCAAAGTCCCTTTGGTTATAGTTGGCTGTCTACTTCGTGATAAAATTTCATATTGAAATAGATCTAAGTCGCAAACAAACCAATGCACAAATGATATAAAAACTAACATGAAACTTATGCAGATGGATAAAGTTTGAGTGGAAAGCGAATAGGATCTCGATGTTTGAACTGAAGCGTTGTTGGGGCTGTTGTATAATCTTCCGTGGTATCGGAGTGTCTCCAAAGTGTTGAAGAGGTTCGTTAACAAGTGATCTTTGATCTGTAGACTTCAATGAAAAGCACAATGAATTAGTGGCTTACGAAAGAATATGACTACAGCTAGTGCCCTTAATAAGGACTACACTGGCTTACGTAACAGAAGAGATTTCGAATCTCTCTTTTGAAGACCCTGTGAGAAACGGGAAAGTGGAGGAAGCTTAGTATTCTGTTTGTCGTAGCTGATGCAAATAATCCAAGGCTTTCTCACCTAGTTGCTGCTTGAGACTCAGGAATGAATTTTACACAGATAGAAGAGCTTTTATCTGGCACAAAGCATTGGTTTAAAATATTCTGGTTGCTGGTTAGCTTGTTAGCTCACACACATCTCCCATGAATAGCTTTGTGGAGTTAGTCATAACTCTGTGCCAACATTATATGAAGTTAGTGCTCCTGAGGTGGATAGAGGCTTAGTACATACTACATACAGAAATATTAGACTTCATAAACACCGGCGACTTCGAAAACTGGAAGTACTCTAACAGTGATGCATATACACTGACTTTGAATTTAGGGAATCCTGCAGGTGATTCATTTTGATTAGGGATAGGATTCATAGTGAAGTCGACACTATAGCATTCCCGAAACCAATTTACGTAAGGATAACTAGAGCTCAGGGATCAACTTTGGCTGCTAAACAGGAAAGAGCACATACTGACCAACCGAACGATATGAAGCGTTGGAGCAAAACGAAGGCTGGATGGTCGATACAGTAGTGACATGAACTCCTTGAATAATTATTACTAAGTATCAATAGAATGTTATTGAGTGCTTATGAGTTGTAGGAATAGAGTAGGAAAGCAGCGTAGGGAAAAATAAGAGGAATAAACATGAGATGGAAACAGAATCAACTTTTGAATAACAGGGAGGATGTTTAAGCTAATAATCTTGGTATGAAATGTTTTGTATTTTTCTGGAAGCTATTGCTGAAGACACCAACAAGTGTAGGTAGAGATGTAACATCTCAAAAACTAAATATCACAGCTCAAATAGCAAAGAAGAACTTTCTAGGGATTAATATTCACGAAGACGAAGATGAAAATCTCTATGTCAATAAGCACAGATGGATTATGAAGGCTATTTATTCAAAATTCACACTTTTATGGCATTCTGTTGTTTTTCAGTCTCTGAAAGATCACTCGAGAAATGAATACTGTTCCATTTTGTTTTCATATTTTGTCATCATTACACATCTGAATGACACTCAGCTATAGATCCGCTTAAAATTTACTACAGTATTACTAACGTTTGCAAGGATATTGAGATACTAATACAAATAGTGACAGTTTTCACTTTGGTAAAAAGGGCAGAGTCGGTGACACAGAGGTAGAACGCTCACTGAACCACGCCTCATGAGGTCTGAGGTTCGATTCCGAGCCACCAACGCACTCCTTTACCTAGTTAAGCCAGTAATAAGACTGGTAAAGAGGAAAGGTTGGACATGGAGCTACCGACCCCATCCCGTAAAAATAAACACCCCTGCTACTGAAACTTCAAGCCTTTAACTTGAAGCCACCCTATGTTCCACTGGGATTGCAAAGGAATAGAAAAATAAAAATGGTAGCAAAGGGGGAGAATGTTATAGAAGGATTTGACCAACAAGATGGATATTACCTGGACAAAAATGCCTCTTTGTAACGCAAGCGTGGGTAGTTGAGGTAAAATGCTCACCAACCACGTATCTGGTCAACGATTCGATCCCAGACCGTGGAAAATTCTCAGTGGGACATACAGAAAATGAAACCAAGTGATTCAGATAGGAGATTCTTTTCAACGAATTCATTACCAAGCTGTACAGTGGCATATATATGGTTGTTAGGGAATTATATCCGGTGACGGGACTGAATCACAGGTTTGAATACACAAAATAATAATAGTAGTATGACATGCAGTTAAAATGTTTGTCAAGAGTCGGTTTGTAAGGATTAGATTTGTTTTTACGAGTTT